AACTTTCGTTTCGAAACTGATGTTTAAGTAAACGAACCGATGCTGTTACGTATAGTTTGAGCTTTAACCACCGCGACGCGTTTAAACGTTTATAATCTGCTTTGTTCGTATCTGTCGGTACGTGGCGTTGTAACGTTGCACGGTCACATACATTTGCCTTTGAACATAGCCGTGAAGTGTTTTATGATCGAAATGTCAAATTAAATATAGGTTAACTCGGTCAGTGCATCGTGGACGCATATAATTGAGTATTTTATCGTGTATGTTTGAAATGCAAGATATTTCCTTTATTGAAGCGTTATTTATTAATTGCTTTTATATTTAGTGCGAAATCAGTTGTAGAAATTAGTTAAACAGTCAGCTGGAAAAGTATTTAATATGAAACCGGCAAACAAGGTGAGTCTAATTGTACTGAAATATATTTTAATTTATAAATTATTATAATAATGTTTAGTCCTTTGCAGTATATAGGCCGCCTTCAATGCAAAGTCTGTTCATGTATTGTGATAATTGATTTGTCATGTAATAATTGAAATTTCTAACACACCAGTCAGAAACATAACCTCAATTCAGTGATATATGAATAAAGAGAAGTAAGTTATTAGTTTTATACATATTCATTTTTATAGTTCCATTAGTATCAGAACTATTTAGCTAAGCACAAATTGATATAAGTTGGTTTTCAATTGTAGAGAAAATTATAGTGCTGATAACCCCTACGAAAATGGATTTCAAGCTAGGGTAATTTTCTCCAATAGAGAAGATAAATACAAAGTTAGATAATATATTAGAAATTATTAATCCTTTGTCACCAAAAAAAAACAAGCAAGGCTTAAAAACATGCAAGAAGAAAAATAAGAACACATATCGATAAATAAGAACACATATTAAGATTAAGTGTTGAAAAGAAAATGAATTGTGGAGTATTTCTTAAGTGATGATATTGTATTACAGAATAGGTATATTAATGTTTTTACACAAAGAGAATTTTAACTAATATGATTTAATACTATTTGTAATGTTTTACTTTTAGGAAATTCACATATTTAATACGAAACCAGGAAAAGTGAGTATAATTGCACTGTTTTTTTTTTAATTTACAAGTTATTATATTAATGACTAATTAGTTATTTTCAGTATATAGGTCATGTGCAATGCAAATTCTGTTTATGTATTGTGATAATTGATTTTTCACATAATTATTGAAATTTCTGACAGACCAGTCAAAAATCACATAACCTCAGTGATATGATATGAATATTAGAGGTAGATAAGTGTAATATATATGGTATCATACATATTCTTTATAATTTCATTAGTATCAGAACTATTCAGTTAAGCAAAAACTGATATAAATTGCTTTTCAATTGTAGAGAAAGAGTGCTCATAACCCCTATGGGTTATGTCAAAATGGAATTCAAACTAGGGAAAATTACTCTAATCAAGAAGATAAATTGTCACCAAAGAAACATGCAAGAAGGAAAACAAAGAATGCACTGGATATCACACATTATATGGATTAAGTGTTGAAGAGAACATGAATTGTTGAGTATTTCGAGTCTGATGATCTTGCATTACAGAATTGGTATATTAAGGTTCTACATGAAGAGAATTTAACTAATATGATTCAGTACTAATTTGTAGTGTTTTACTTTTAGGTAATTCAGATCTTGAAAATTAATAGGATAAAATCAATGCAAGAAAATTGAGTGTGTGTTCATGGAATAATTATCTCTGTCATATGATCGTAGGAACTACATAGTCATTAACTTCAAATAATGAGTATGTTTAGAGGTAATGTTCACAAATGACTAATTTGTTCACAATGTTTTCAATTCAAAATTTGTGTACAATGTTTCTAAGATGTTTGGTTCTATTTTAGATACATTAACAGATGCAAGTGAATTGAACATATTTAACGCAAGACTTAACTTTGCCAAGTCTGATTTAACTGAAGTTGCCAAGAGAGTTAAACATAATACATATTATGAATAAATAAATAATTATTTTTATAGGCTAACATTTTATGGACTATCAAATTTTAGTTTTCTAATGTTAACTATGTAATATGTAAATTTTGTATATTGTAAATGATATATTTAATAAATTACTAAATATCCGAAATTATTATTAATATTCTATATTTGCAGGAAATTTAATTAAATAAGTATGTAACATAAAGACACCTACACGCTTTTTATTCAATTTAGATACGTAGCAAAAATGTAACCGCGGTGTATTAGTGTGCAACGAAACAGCCGTTACGTTCTTGCCCGCGAAATAGATGCTTCTGTGTGCCTCCCAGGTTACGTACCTGGTTCGTGCGGACGTGCCGGCGTTACGTAACGTTCATGGCTTTGTTACGTTTTGTGGTTTACTGGGCAATGTTCAGAAAATCTACGACATGTTCAGACAATTTACATCGTTACCAGGAAATTTACAATATTTTCAGACTAATTTAATTCAGACTAAAAATTACAACATTGATGCAATAACATAATTCACAATATATTCAGACAATCTAAAACTTATTTAGAAAATTTGCGACATTTTCAGGCAAATCGCAATATTTTTAGACAATTTGGAACGTTTACAGAAAATTTTACCATATTTTCAGACCAGTTACTATAATATCAGACAATCTAGTCCATTTAGACAAGTTATTATAATATCAGACCAGTTATAATATCAGACAATCTATAACATCATCAACCAGACAATTTACAACCATCAGACAAATCTCGCTTTCTATTACTCCCTACATACCTAAGAACGCAGCCTTGTTGGTCGCATTAGAAGTTCCACTTTAATAAACAAAATAAACTTACCCATGGGTCCTTCATCAAAATATCCTTCAGTCTTTCTTTCCATAAACATGGCTCTCGTTTCTGGATTATTCATGAATTCTTCAGCTTTTTGTTTACGTATTTCTGTCTCTTCATCTCCACACCAGGGTAAACCTGATGAGACCAAGGTTCCATCTCGACCTGAAAAATAAATGAAATAATAATGAAGAGAATACTTAATAAAAATCATCAGTCTTGTCCGTTAATATAAAATCTTGATACATAGAACTTATATCAAAATATTTTAATTCAATAAATCTAGGAGTAATTCAAATGAATTTAATGAATCAGAACCAAAAAATTTTAAATCATTACTCTGAGGTATAAATATAAATTTTAAATTGAGGGTTTATTTATTTATTCGCCAGTTTAATAAATCGCTTTCTATATCTATCTCCTTTCTCAATCTCCTCTCTCATCGATTTTTTTATCCTTTTCTATATCTTTCCTATATCTATCGCTTTCTATACCTTACTAATCTATAGCTTTTTATATCTATCTTCTTTCTCAATCACTCCATCGATTTAATTTATACTTTTCTATATCCTAGTCTGTCGACTCGTCTATCATTTCTGTCTCTCCATCGATCTATCTATCTATTTTTCTTTTTCTATCTCCTATTCCATACTTTTCTCTTACTCCATCTCTCTTTCTCTCTCTATCAATCTTTTTCTTTCGATCTAGCCTTTTTCACCTCCATTTATCTCTATTTCTTTTTCTCTCTTTTCTCGATTACTCTTGTTCTATCTCCCTATACCTATCTCTTTCTCTGTTCTAATCTTTTTCTTTCGCTCCCATCATCTCTATATATCTTTTTACGTATCTAGTTTTTTCCCTCGCTCTTGTACGTATCCAGTTTTTTTCCTCTACATTTATCTTTATCTCTTTCTCTGTCTTTTTCAGAATTATTCTTGCTCTATCTCTCTACATCTAACGTTTCTCTCTACATTAGCCTTTCTATCAATCTTTTTCCCTCGCTCTTCTGCTCATCTCTATACGAGGGTCATTCAACAAGTACTTAGCCTCACCGCCCGATGGCGCTGCTATCACAAAAGAGTTTTACCATCATGCAGTACGTTCTTTTAGTAGCCTACTGTCAAAGTTTCATTCAATTCCCTGCATTAGTTTTGTTTTGACAGCTTTTGAAAGCGAGCGTGTCGGTCAATTTTACAAAAATGGAAAAAGAACAATATCGTTCGGTGATTAGATTCTTGTTTTTGGAAGGGAAAACGCGCAGCGAAATCAAAGATCGCTTGGATGCTGTGTACGGTGACTCTTCTCCTTCGATGGCGACCGTCAAGAATTGGTTTAACGAGTTTGTTCGTAGCCGCACGTCAGTTTTTGACGAGCCACGGCCAGGTGCCCCGAAAACAGCTGCTACAAACGAAAATATTAAAAAAATCCACGATCTCGTGTTGGCAGACCGTCGATTGAAAGTTCGCGAGATAGCTGAGACTGTAGGCATCGCAGAAGGAACGGTGCATCATATTCTACACGAAGAACTGGGCATGAGAAAGCTGTCGGCGCGGTGGGTGCCGCGCTTGCTCACACCGGAAAACAAGCGCAACCGTGAGACCACATCGGCGACGTGCAACCCGGCGGAGTTCTTGCGTCGTTTCGTGACCGTCGACGAAACATGGATTCACTGGTACACACCAGAGACCAAGGAGCAGTCAAAACAGTGGACTTCACCGGGCGAACGTGCTCCGAAAAAGGCGAAGACTGTTTGATCGGCTGGAAAGGTGATGGCCACCGTTTTTTGGGATTCACAAGGTGGATCTATCTACATATCTAGTTTTTTTCTCTCGGTTTATCTCTATTTTTTTCGCTCTTCTTTTTTGGGTTACTCTTGCTCTATCTCTCTATATCTATCAATCAATCTTTTTCTCTCGCTTTTCTATCTCTATAGATCTATTTACGTATCTAGTTTTTTCATCTACATTTATCTCTATCTCTTTCTCTCTCCTTTTTGGGTTACTCTTGCTCTATCTCTCTATATCTATCTCTTTCTTTCTACATCAATCTTTCTATCAATTTTCTTCCCTCGCTCTCCTCATCTCTATAGATCTATCTACATATCTAGTTTTTTCCGCTCCATTTATCTCTATCTCTTTCTCTCTCTTTTTCTAAGTTACTCTTGCTATATCTCTCTATATCTATCTCTTTTTCTCTAAATCAATTTTTTTCTTTCATTCTCTACATTCATCTTTTTCACCTTCTCTTCAAATCTTTTTCTCCACATTTATCTTTATCTCTTTCTGTGTCCTTCTCTGGATTACTCTTGCTCTATCTCTTTCTCTCTACATCAATCTTTCTATCAATCTTTTTCCCTCGCTCTCCTCATCTCCTCATATATAAATTCTATATATAGAATTATCTACGTATCTAGTTTTTCTCCTCTCTGTTTATTTTTCTATCTTTTGCTCACTCCTTTTCTGGATTATTCTTGCTCTATCTCTCTGTATCTATCTCTTTCTATACCAATCTTTTTCCCTCGCTCTTCTTATCTCTATAGAATTATCTATGTATCTAGTTTCTTTTCCTCTCTATTTATCTCTATCTCTTTTTCTCTCTTTATCTGGATTACCATCTCTCTTGCTCTATTTAATTAGATTTATTCATTCGTTATCAAGTTCTAATGAACAATCATAAATTATTATTATTATATTCAGACTCTTGTCAAGCTTATTTATAATATGCAACTGAAGTAAAATTAATTTATAGTACACTTTTAGAGGCTATAAAACGTTTGCTTCTGAATTTAAAACAGCTGAAAGTAAGCATACAAACAATGTATATAATATTTGCCATAATAAAGTTCAATCTATCTGATGCCTGTCAACACGCATCGCATTTCTACTGGACAGATAGGCTCATCATAGTGACAGCACGGATGAAACAAAATAGTGCAAGTGTCAGTTCGGATCTCTCTATTGTTTCTCCCCAGTCTCACTGCCAAAATTATAATTCATAACACTTTTCCTTTTTATTGAAAATACACAAATACTAACTATATTTTATAAATGATAAATATGATAACACATAGTGTCGTTACTATTTTATTATAAATAAAATATATTACATATGGACCACAGTTTTCCATATGTTTATCTATTTATTTTTTCTTTCACTATCTATATCTTTCTCTACATTTTTTATCTTTCTCTCTAATCTATCTATTCTTTTTACTCACTATCTTTTTCTCTTTACTTTTACCTTTCTTCATCTCTCTTCATCTCTTTCTCCCCACTAAGCCAAAATACGTAATATTTATGTAATTTTTACGCAAAAAAGTTACATACTTATGTCATTTTTACGTAAGATTAATGTAAGATATGTGTCATAATTTCGCCTATCTTAAGTAATGTGATTACGTAATATGGGATTACGAAAATATTTCATAATAATTACGTAATTTTTGAAAAAAAAATGACGTGGAGGGCTCTTTTTTACACACATACATATATACACACAGCATATCTGTATATATGAACACACACATACACACTATGTGTATATATGAACACACACATTCATGAACATAGAAATGAGTATGCACACACAGTATGTACATACATATATAATATATATGTATGTACACACACACATACATATAAACACACACACACACACACACATATATATATATATATATATATATATATATATATATACACTATCTGAAAAATGAACGAAAAAGCACATTTATATGGCATGTTTATTTTTTCGGCATATATACACAATTTAAACATTAGCAAATCCATAAAGTAATAATAATAATTCACAATTTTTATAAAATAATGTAATTACATATAACATATTGATCAACATTTTCATGGCAAATGGAAAAATATACAATATGATAATGATAAGTAAAATTAAATGATAAGTAAATTAAACTCGAAATAAAAATCATCGAAGTATCCTTTACAAAGTCTTCATAAGTTCTTTCACTAACTATTTCATGGAAAATATTATGTAATTAGGAACTGTCGTATCTTCTGTTAAAACTAAATGTGGTATAAGTCTATGATGTCTTCTCTACAAAAGCATTCTCGATATCTATTTCATGGCCCATTTGTGATGAAAAAATGCATCTCGGATATAAATTATTAGCTTTCGATTTTCACCTGAAATAAAAACATGGTAATAATTTCTATTTAACTTTTGATACATATATTTTTATATACTTACACAAAGCAAATGGTTTTCAAAAGGCCAAGTGATTCTGTTATATATAATTTGTCACTGAATTTATATTAACATAAAATAGTATTTAGAATATGAATACCGTTACATTTGAAACAAAATTCTTTATATATCTAATTATTATTAGAAAAAAATTAATAACACACACGATTAATTTTTAGGTTAATGGAGCGTTTTAGAGTAAAGATTTAAGTAATTCATGTAATTTAAGAGGCTTTAGAATATATTTATAATAAACATATATCTTCACATATTTAATATCACTTTCACATTTAATTAGCAAATTAAAAATATTGATAAGACACTACAAAACACAAAACTTAATTTAAAACGCATGGCGAGTCGTACTCCCATAATCCTTGCCTAGTAGCCGCTAGTAGCCGGCGGCTCGGCACGGCAGTCTCCTTGCAGACATAACGGTACTTATGTCACTTAGCGCCGTTCATTGGTTGACGTTTCGTTCATGAAACGAAATATTCCGAAAATTCGCGAGTCATTTTTATTTCGTCTCTATGCAGTTAATGCAGTACGATTACTTTGAAAAAAAGTTAAGAATTTCAAAATATTTCAAAATAAAGCAATTATTTTTTTTTCAAAGTCTTTTTTTCAAAAAGGTAATTTTTTGTCAAAATTTTATAGTTTCTCAAAAATCTAATTTTTTCAAAGTAAAATTTTTTCAAAAATGTTAATCTTTTAAACAAAATAATTATTAGTACGGGAAGTTCCAACAATTTGCCTAAAGGCACGATGCCATGCGCCGCACTAGTTTATGTAATATATATGAAATAAAATCTTCATTTTTCTTACGTAATATTTTTTCAGGAAAATTACGTAATATTTATGTAATTCTTTCGTAATATCTAATTACGTAATGTAGATTACATATTTCTTACATAAAAATTACGTAATATTACGTAACTGGTTTAGTGGGTCTATATGCTAATCTGTCTATCTCTTTCCCTCTTTCTATCTCTATAAATCTTTCTCTACATCTATACTTTTTCTCTACATCTAAATAAATCAATTTCTCTCCTTTTCGTATCGCCCTCTCTCTTTTTCTATCTAATACATAAATTTATTTATTTATTTACATAAGCAAGCCGCAACAAAAAGTAATAAATATCATTGGCCCTAAAATCATTCCTTGCGGCACACCCAATACCCAAGTTAATTTGAAAGATGATTAGCGCGTGGTCATTATTTAAGATACTAATTACTATGGAATTTATAAAAATAATTTCTAATTACTAATTAAATTTCTATGAAGGTTCAAATAAATTCTTACCCATAGATAAACAAGTATAAATAAGTTCTTACCCATCGAAACTATTCGTTTTCTCTGATAATCCATAATAGCGTTTTGTACACCATTGTCCATTCGATGATGGGGAACTACAAAAGCTAGAAAAATATAATTAATTATTAAAATTAAATAAAAAAACATATATATATATATATGTAAATCTGATTTATTTTAATATTTGAACAATTTTTTTACCACTTGATATTTTCTTTTATTTTCTTTTATCTTTCATTCGATATATTTCGATTACTTGATTTCATTTTTCAAAATTTTATATATATATATATATATACATATTTTTTTTGTTTTTTGTTTTTAGAACAAAATATTCATATTTGTCAAATTTTACACAAAATGCTTTTTTGAATGTTTAATAACTTACAACTTTAATAACTTGGTTTGGTATGTATAATTTTAATTCTGTTTTATTGTATTTTGTTACTTTGTTTTATTACTCTGTTTGTTTTTTTAGCTGAATGATGAGCTAGCAGAATAGCTCGAAACGTACTAAAAAGATTTATATTTACGTTCTTGTTTTATTTTTCGACATGTGGCTTCAAAACTGTATCATATATATATATACCCAGTAAACCACAAAACGTAACAAAGCCATGAACGTTACGTAACGCTGCCACGTTCGCACGAAGCAGGTACGTAACCTGGGAGGCACACAGAAGTATCTATTTCGCGGGCAAGAACGTAACGGCTGTTTCGTTGCACACTGATACACCGCGGTTGCCTTTTTGCTACGTATCTAAATTGAATAAAAAAGCGTGTAGGTGTCTTTTATGTTACATAATTATTTAATGGAATTTCCTGCAAATAAATTGTTTTGGATATAAATATTAAAAGGTAAAATTAATATTTTAAAGTAATTTTATTGAACATTTTTATGACAAATTTCATAGTAACAATAATACATTACTTAAATTTAAAAAAATCAGTAAAATTAACATTAATAATAAATTCATATTTTGATATATACATGTATAAATTATATTAATAAAGTGATAATATTAAAATAAACAATCTTATTGAAAAAATAACTTGGAATAAAATTCATATTGAAACTAACAGGAATAAATTCATATTAAAAAAGAATAATGCAAACATATATATACATGTGTGTATATATACATATACACATACATATGTATATATACACATAAAATTCATATTGAAACTAACAGGAATAAATTCATATAAATATAAATATAAATATATATATATATATATATATATATATATATATATGTGTGTGTGTGTGTTTATAAACTTTGAAGTTTGATGCTCACACATATTCTTGAAATATGTATTTGCAGCCAAAATAGTCAAAATAATAAGCAATGAATAAATTAACTATATTCATGTATATTTCAAACACTGAATGTGTGTCATCATTCAGCAAATTAATACACTCAAGCAGGAAAAAGCGCACACAAATTTTAACACATTGTTCAATGAAAAAAACAAAACATCTTTTTATTTAATGTCTTGGGTTTTTCATTCAACAATATGTTTTGATTTTTTCTGCCTTGAATTTATTAACTTGTGAATGATGACACACATACGGTGTTTGAAATGTACATGAATATAAGTAATTTATTCGTCACTTTTTATTTTGACTATTTTGGCTGCAAATACATATTTCAAGAATGTGTGTTACCATTAAACTCCAAAGTTTATAAACATAGTTTAATATTATATATATAATATATATATATATATATATATATATATATATATATATATATATTATGTTATTATGGGTCTTCTGTTTTGTTCTCTATGTAGTCTTTGTTTCCCAAAGCGAAACCATTCTACAACTATATTAACAAACTTGGCTTCTGTAAATTCAGCGGTGTTGTTAATTATTGTGTCTAAAATAAAACCAAACAGGAATTAGAAACATTAATTAAAATAAATTGAAGTTAAATTACCTTTAATCACTTCCATTACTTTCAGCTTGTTTACTGCCATATTACCTTTCCGGCCATACCAAGAACATACAGCTGCCAATTTTTTGGTAAAAACTTTTTTCAATATATTTCTTATATTTTCAGCCGGAGTTTTCCCACCAATTTTTCTAACATAGCTTTGCTAAAAACAAAACATTAAAATATAATTACTACCAAATTATTTTATTTCAATATCTCCCAAGGTGCAATTATAGTTTACCAATTCTGCAACATATGTTTCATCTTTTAAAAACTCTTCACAGCATGTGATATCATCTTCCGCATCAAGTGGAAACAAAGAATCAAAGACATTACCATCTTGATTACATGTCAATGTAGGATAACTTGCATTTTGCAGTAATTGATCCATTTTAGTATTCAAAATGGCAAGCTCCCTGAGAATAAAATCGGTTTTTGTGCACTGCTTCTCCAAGTTTTCATTTATGTTCACTATTCTTTGTTCCAGCTTTTCTGCAGACCAATCCCTATCAGTTTGTGTTCCTTGATCTTCGAAAGTTTTGCATAACCCAACGTCATGATTTATCCCCATGAGAGGGGATAAGGGTAAAGGGCTCAATTCTTCTACATTAGAAGGAGTTACGCAATTGGTACTTGTAGAACTCCTCGGTGATTCTAGATCCAGCAACAATTGTTGGTTAGGATTAAAATCTGAAAGATTATTTTTTATTCTTTCAAAAATATATATTCTATTGCATTAAAATATGTAGGATTTTATACGTACTATATTCTTCTTCATTTGATTGATATTGGCTGTTGGGTTTCTTTAAACGAAACCCTTTGCCAAGATTCTCCTCAGCCGATGTATAATCACTATCTTGCGCAAACTTTCTTGCTTTATAATATGAATCTATGCAATGAAAAAATAGATTTAAAAAAAAATCTACATTTATATTTAGTTAAAGAAATGCACTTACCGAAATAACGCATGACACTCACATCTTCCTTTGTCCAGGTACTGTCGGGTACACTTTTTTTCATTATTAAAGGAGTTTTTGATGCTATATTAGCAGGAGGCCACCAACACTTTGTAATCTCATTGCCTGTTTTGATTAGCCAACTAACAGGCACCTCTGAGGTTATTATATTTTCAGTTTCTTTAATGAATTTAACGACCGCATGGGTATACATTCTGAAAAGCCATCGTAAAGAGGTTACAAAAACATTCGAAAATCTTCGAAATCAGTCTAATCACATTTGCTGAACCTTTCTTAACAATTTGATATATGAATCAATCACAAAAATAAATAGAAAATACCTGCTGACGACGATGATTAAAAAGATTTCTCTTGATTACTATGATTCACTAACCTATTCGAAGCACAACGATTCACGAAACGAAAATGCAGTGAGTCACAGAGGTCACAGAGCGTGAAGTGATCGACTCAGGCTTGCAAACTTTCGACAAGGAAAATAGAGATTTCGTGGCGCAAAGATTTTGTAGAACTGTCAAGTGTTTACTAGAGCAGTCAGTGAGTTAATTTTTTTTAAGTAGAATAATTATGATGGATCAACAAAAATTAAAGACACGTAAACCATTAAAGGATTTATCGAAACGCAGAATTCAACAGATAGTTGCTCAAAAGTGCTAAGATATAAAAAACTTTTGGATCAACAAGTGGATAATTCTACACCTAGTATCGGTGTAAGTGCAAGCAAGAATGATATAGAAAATACAGTGGCTAATATAGAGATCGTTGAATTTTCAAATATGCCTTCAACGTCTTCAAATATTGGTTTTCAATCATCTGATATTGATACAAATTTGCAACAATCAGCCAACAAAACCATTGACTCTTCATCCACTGAGTCTTCAACCCTTCAGGAAGATTTGCGCTATTGGATAAATGATCAAAATATTACCTTACATAGTGCCAACCTTTTATTGAAACTTCTACGAAAACATCATGGACTTGATGCATATCTTCCATGCGATGTACGGACATTATTGGGAACACCAAGGCATGCTACAGAAAGCATTCAGGCACTTAATGGGGGGTTTTATGTACATTTTGGTGTAGAAAGTTCTATTATTCGAGCCATGACCAAAATGTACAAAAAATGTCCAATTAATATTAAGTTACAGTTAAATTGTGATGGTATGTCCTTAACTAAGAGCTCTAATAGTACATTTTGGCCGATACAGTTAATGATAGAGGGAGAAGCTAGCAAACCTTTTATTGTCGGTGTGCATCACGGTGAAGGAAAGCCAAACGACGCCAATATTTATTTATCTGATTTCGTAAAGGAGATGAAAACCATCATGCTAAATGGCATAACCTTTAAGAAAAATAATTGTAAAGTAATCATTTCTAAAATAGTTTGTGATAGCCCTGCAAGATCTTTCATAACATTTGTGAAAAGTCATGCAGGTTATTTTAGCTGCCCGAAATGTACGCAAGAAGGTGATTTTGACGACCATGTGATAATGCCAGAAGTAAATTGTCCACTACGTACTGATGAAAGCTTTAGACTTCGCCTTCAACCAGAACATCATTTAGGTAGCTCCATATTAGAAGAATTAGGCATAGGAATGGTGTCACAAGTTGCATTGGATTATATGCACTTAATTTGTTTGGGGGTCACAAAGCGTCTTCTTGGGATTTGGGTGAATGGTCGCAAAGATATGCGATTGAATGATACTGATAAAAATAATGCCAACAAAAAAATTATTGAAATTAAATCTTTCATACCCAAAGAATTTTCACGATTACCTCGTGTTTTGGATGAGTATAAAAGGTGGAAAGCAACTGAATTTAGACAATTCCTGTTATATACTGGAATAGTTATACTTCAGCCTTATTTGGATCATCACAAATATAAAAATTTTGTTCATTTGTGTTTAGGTATTAGAATATTGTGTGATGAGGAAATTTGTTTAACCTCAAATGAATTAGCCAGAAAACTTTTAATATGTTTTGTTAGAAGTTTTGCTGAATTATATGGACTGAACAAATTCACTTTTAATATTCACAATGTAATACATTTGGCAAATGAGGTCAAAGTATTTAACTGCAGTTTAGATAAGTTCAGTTGTTTTCCATTTGAAAATGAATTGAAACGCTTGCGAGGAAAAATTAAAAATTGTAGGAAACCATTAGAGCAACTTGTCAATAGAATTGGCGAAGAAAATAAATTATCTGTAACACCAAATATTAGTATTTCATATCCAATAGTTCATCAAGACAAGGATGGAAAAATAATAAAAATTGAATTGAATTTTTTTTTAATTTCTGGTCAGAAACCTGATAATTGCTGTATGACCTGTGACAATAAAATTGTTACAATAAAAAATATAATAATGCAAGACAATGATTTATTTTTGGATTGTGAAGAAGTACTCGAAACTCATTCATTATTTTTGAATCCAATTGATTCAAAATTACTTGGCATATTTGTCTTTGATAAATTTAAATGTAAAGATGTAAGAGTAAAAGTAAATATTATAAAAAAAAAATGTATAAAGCTACCACATTTTGATCAAAGTAAATATATTGTTATCCCATTGTTACATCATTTTTCAATTTGTTTTATTTATTCTATATTTTTAGCAGATTTCAGTTTAAATATTATTACATTATATATATCGAATAACCGGACTAATTGTTGTTGATGGGCATTCGGATAATCAAAAATTCCGATGATCAAATGTATGAAGAATAATGTTATGTATTTATTAAAAATAACATTTACATCTACACAACTTACTCTCTTACTCTTACACAACTTACTCTTACAAAAATCAACGTTTATTAAGAAATTGACACTTTCCTATCTTTGTACATACATATTTTCTTATGTACATGTACTAAATTGCAGCATGTATATATAAATACTGATTATGAAGCAATAAATAAATACTTAAATAAGTGCATTACACTTCAAAAGATAAAATATAACATGTGCAAATAGTAGCTACAATATCCGAAGCATATAATTACACACAAGATCTACAACACAATATTGTATCATTATTTAAAACACTCGTCAATTTATTTCCTCTTCAACACTTATTTAATATAATGTGTGAAAATTATATAAGTTCTTCTCTTCTTGTCATGCTTCTTTGGTGACGACGAATTAATATTTTCTAAGACTTTATCTAACTTTGTATTCTTGATTCTGATTTTGAGTATTCTGACAGACTTAACCTATATTTAATTTTTTGACATTTCGACCATAACCTACTTCACGGCTATTTCAAAGGCAAATGTATGTGACCGCGCAACGTACCACGCCACGTACCTACAGATCCGAACAAAGCAGTATTATAAACGTTTAAACGCGTCGACGGTGGTTAAAGCTCACAACTATACGTAACAGCATCGGTTCGTTTACTTAACATCAGTTTCGAAACGAAAGTTACAAAATGTGTTGCGTGGTGGTAACTTCTGTGGTTTACTGGGTATATATACAAGATGAATTACATCAGATTAGGTATGATTATAATAAATCTTCGATGGTAATAAGCTTAATGATAATAGCTCTATGTGTTTTAACAAAAGACATTTATGGGGCAATTCTGCCGAAACATAGCGTTGGCAACATATTTTACAGTATAGTTTATATTTTATATATAAACAAGCAAGGAAGAATATTATGGTAATAGCATTTTCGAAGATTTTGTTATCATAACATTCTTCCAGTTTTCACTACCAAGAAACAAACATAAGATAATGTTGCAATGACATCGCTGTGTTATGAGCACTGTTACTGCAGAATTGCCCCATTAATTAACATATAAATATTATATTTTTGTGATATTGAATTTATATTGGACGCTGTGGTTATTTTTTCATTAAAAGATAAGTTTCATTTGGCCTATTTTAACCATTTTACACCTATGTATTCGTTTAATCTTTTAAAGTTATACTTTCATTGTGATATTATTACCATTTGATATCAAGCTGGTCAAAATGCCTAAACCACGAAGCAAAGGCAAGTTCGTGTTATTCATTATATTTATGTAATTAAAATATATATTAATATTTATAAAAAATTACTTATAGGTTTTCCTTTAGCTCCTACTTCATGTGCACAAATGATACCATCCATTCCACAGCTAACGGTGTGGTATTCATCGATTCTAAAATTTATATTTCTCAGTTGATGTCCTGAAGCCTTAACTCGCTTTAGGATGACTGCCCATGATTTCTAAAATAGAAAAAAATCAGTTAAACTATGTGGCCTTTAAAATTTTAAAATCAGAGTAGTCGTTAATAGTCCTAAAGAAGTCGTTTTTGAGAAAATGGATGATGAAATGGTCAAATTTTTGTTAACATATGCACATATGTGCATCCAACTTTGGTGCTAAACGATTCAAAATGAATTAAAACGCGGAGAAATCAAAAAATAGCATTTTGGTCGAAAGCGCAGGTCCTTATCATCTCGCAAAACTGATCAACGAGCCAAAACGTCGACGAAAGTACAAATTTTTGGCTAAAACGTGGACGAAAATTGTTGTACTTTCCTGCTAATTAAAAGGAAACTAGCAGAACGTCGACGAAAGTACAAATTTTTGGCTAAAACGTGGACGAAAATTTTTGTATTTTTTTGCTAGTTGTGAAGAAACATCTTGATCAAAAGTGCAGATCCTTATCATCTAGCAAATCTGATCAACAAGCCAAAACGTCGACAAAGGTACAAATTTTTGGCTAAAACGTGGACGAAAATTTTTGTACTTTTCTGCTAATTAAAAGGAAACGAGCCAAAACGTCGACGAAAATACAAATTGTTGGCTAAAACGTGAACGAAAAAATTGCCTTAGATACACAAGCCTACACTTTTTCCAAATTTGGTCTCAGACGATTCAAAATGACTTGAAATGTCAAGAATATAAAATTAGCAAATCAAAGTTAGCAATAGACTTCTCATTCCATTACTATTGTACATAAATGCATTTTAGGAATAATTCACAATTATTCACATTATCAAATCCACAAAATATTTACAAATCTTACATTATGACTATAGTCCAGCACATGTATGACCCTAGACATGTGGGGCACCGCAAATATCAAAGTGGCCCCCGGGACATCATTACAGTAGCACACGTTCTTGTACAATCTATTCATGTTGAGGTAGTACTTCTGGGAGAACAGAGCCTTTTCTGGATGCTTCGGTAAAGTATAACATAGCAATCTGTCCCCTGAAAAGGTAAAAGATAGAAAGATTAAAGATGCACAGATATGGACATAGTAATTAAAATTAGTGTTTAGGATGAGGGTTGATAGACGCTTTCGGAATAGCTTATTATATTTGATGCAATAGCTGGAAATTTGAGTATTTCAGGAAAACAATTGAGGTTATCTGCTTGTTATCTAGTTTGAAGGCGGCCCAGTCAGATTCTGCTTGAAGTCTGTAACTCTTAACCCACACAGAATTGGTTACTAAGGAAGAAATTGACTCGACAAAGACAATGAGTTAGCAAACATAGTTTATTTTTAGTTTCTTTAGTATAAAACTAACAAGTAGCGTACCATTATAGAATTTTGATTAAATGCGCAAACTTTTAGAGACACTTGCCAATGACTTTTAGAGCATTGTATCTGAAGAAGAGCCAATCGATTTCACAGTTTAACAATTAGTCTAAATTCTAGAAAATTGGGAAAAATTTTGTTGTTTTTATTTATGGTCCTAGAAATGTAATTTGTGGGTAAATATTAGGATGTGATTGATTTTTAATATTTTTGTTATATAACCATGTTAATAAAATGGTTATACAGGTTGACCAAAGCCCTACGAACTTAAAAGCTCCTAAATTTCAAACTGTGTGGGATAAACTGTTTACAATTTTTACAAACAATCCTGTAACCCTCTCTCCTCCGTCAACTAACAAATGATACGATTTGAGCATGCCTCTGTCGAGATTTAGAGATATGGACTCTGATCGACAAATTCTACTAGCGAGCAAACCGGCATCAAAACCTAATTGCTTTTATATATAAGAGTGTAGCTAATATAATAAATTAATGGAAAACCTTTGCTCAATTCTGAAAACCTCAAAAAAAAACACTAAAATGTATATTTTTAATAGCTTTATTCTACTATATTTATACAAAACAATGAGAACAGGTTATCAGAAATATACAGAAGAAGCAAAAAAAAGTTTTAATATCAGTAAATACTGGAAAATACTAGATTCTAGTAAATGTACCAGACAAAGAGTATTTATTGATTTTTTTTTTTAATTATTTAATGCTTATTGAACAATCGTGATTCATATCCATAAAGGAAAAGGTAAGTATTTTATAACTACCTTATATATGACTTATAATTGAAATCATAATTTATTCTATTTATGTTTCATTTTCATCTCAATGCAAAAAACTACAATTGCCAAACAAGATCCAAAAATCAAGAACACAAAAGCTCCACTGACATCTTTAACTTCCAACATAATGCCATCTCGCTCCACATCCAGCTCGTCCATCTCCATATCATTCTTCCTTAAAGCACCACCAACCAGATATTTCCATCTTTCGAACAATCCTCCTGCTAAAAATCTTAGAATCATTTTGTTAAATTTAGGTGCCGGAGGGAAACCTTTGGAATACAACAATTCTATTGGAATGGTCATGATGCTTTGGGGAGACACGAAGACACGTTTCTTCAAATCAGCAGAAACAAAAGATAAATAATCCCTGGTTACAATTGTGGTTATGTTTTTATGATAAGCTACATAGTTGAGAGCGTCCAAAGCCAAAAGATCTACATAGTTGTCTGTGATGTATTTGGAGTTGTCATCATCCGTACTGCCGTATATCATACTTATAGCATCAGTTCCACCAATGATTAAACCATTGGACACAATCTCGTCTTCCTTATAAATTTGATACTTCCTCAAAGGATATCTGTAACTCAACATCAGACCACTTTGATAAAACGCGCTTATGTTCAAAGTAACATACGCCCATAAAATCAGCACTATTCTCAACCTCAAATAACTCGGCTGGCAGTTGACGTTGTTGTTTAAAGCCATTGCCCAAACTGCCAAAAAGGAACCAGACACAGTTTTAAACACCGTACCCCTCTCTTCGTTTTTGCTTAAAACTTTACAAACACCAGACACAACTATATAAGTCAAGCAATACGCCAGGTAAGTGTTCAATGGTAAAATTGCCAAAAAGTTTCGCCAAGGTGGTTCCAAATCCGCTACGGGTACCACCAACACGTACTGGCTCTGTGAGTACTGAATTGAAGTATCAAACACCAAATGGAGTTCTTGGATTGGATAAATGGCCCCAATGGCGATATCAGCTTGTCCTTGGTACAAATAGTCAAACATTCCAGTAAATGTATTATTGGGATTTATGTCACCCCAGTTTTCAGGTTGAGAAAAGCTTCTGTAAACAAACTGGCAGTTAAAATACTGCTGCAAGGTCGTCAACATGTAGATTTCATAACCATCTTTTAAAGGTACATCAACATTGTCTTGAATATCAAAATTTTCAGGATACATTATATACGGTGGCCAAACTACTGCAATAACTTTAAACTCGCAACCATGAAAATCTTTAGGTACTTTGTCTGGAAACAGTGAAACATTAGAAAGGAATTGACCATTAGAACAACTGTCAAGCACTGTATACATATCTAAATATTCACCACAATTTTGGTTAGCGTAAGGAAACCATGTAGCAATTTTAAATCCATCCACAAAATCATCCATAAGAATCACAATATTCAGAATATACGAACTCCACAGCTCATTCATGATCAAGTTGACATCACCGTCAACATAATTAGATAATATTACAATAAATAAAGCGTCAGGCCTCCAACTTGGATATTCTTTCAACCAACCAACACCAAGTAATAAATCCTGGAAAGAACTTGTAAACAAAATATATCCAACAGGATTTTCGGGCATGACTTCCCAATAGTCTCCAATTTCTGTTGTAGATCTGATTAAAATCTTCCAATTGATACTGGAAAATGCTGTTTTTAAGACTTGTTCACCCAAATATAAGGATGTTTGGTTGTCCGATTGGTACAAATTTATATAAATGATTGTTCCTGCAGTAAAATATGTGTCAATTATAGAGTTGACGCACCTTGCTTGGCTTACGAAGACATGCTGCTGATCCTTGTAGGTTATGTTCGATAAATTAGACAAAACTTTTGAAACTTGATTGAATATGATGAGATAAGATATAATGAACATTGTTTGATGAATTAACTAAAATATCTAATTATTATCTATCGAATTAACTAAACCACTAAATCCACGCAATTACGTATAGTTAAGAACCTCAACCACCATTGTACACTGTATGTTTCTCAAATTTATCATTACAAATATGTAGCACAGATGAAACTCTCAAAAATTTCGTTATAAATCTAATCGTTACAATGGTGAAACGTTGCTGTTACGTCTAATTATACAAGTCAATCGTCATGAACGTAACTGCTCTGTTTCGTTTGTTACGTGGCAGCTATGTAACGCGTGTTTAATAAATTTGACATATGAAATGCCGAATTTGTTTGTGGCTGTTATGCGGACAGTAAAGATGTTAAAATGAGCTCTTTGTTTGCAAGTTTTTAAGTTATTTCATTAATGGTTTCTATTTATTGAAGCATTTATTTAATGTTTATATAATAGTTTTAAAAATTAGTTAAACGGTAAGCTGTGATAATATTTAATCAAGATGGAATCGCTCAAATTAATTATGTAGATATAAACCTAACCTTACGAGTGAGTATAACTTCGGTATAAGTATAACTTTATAGGTAATTTATTTTGTATTAATTATCATAAATTATTTTTTTTTTGGTGCAGGATTAATGTATATTTAAATTCATTCAAAAAAGTATTTTATGTTTTCATTAGTAACTAAATTTTTTTGAGACTCAAATTATTTTTAACGACTTTATTTTATTTTTGTGATTTTGAAACTTCAAACTATTCAAATTTTATAAACTTTAAATGAAAATATTTTAAAAAAAATCACTGTATAAAAATATAATCGTCTTTATTATTATTTTTACCCAAAAATAGTTTTTTTTGTAAAAAAAAATATTAAATTTTTAATAAAACATCAAAAACAGTAATCCAGGTTTTTCTCGTAACTGGTAAACGTGTAATAAACGAATCCGTGACGTGCTCACGCAACGAAACGAAGCATTACATCACTACATGTTACGTAGCCGTTACGTCCAACTTTAAAGTTGGTACGCAGTAAAAACTCTTTTAAACGCCTCGTGATGTACAGGATGATTATTATTATAATTCAAAATAAATTGTTTATTTTTGTCATGAAGTATATTTTGTTTGCATAATTATTGTGTGAACAATTATAGATCTTAAAATTGATAAATATACTTAACACACTTAACACGTTGCATTTAATGACAGAGTTAGTATCCATATAGAAAACATCAATTACATTTTTAATATTATTAAAGGTTCAAGTTATAAGTAGATCCTTATTAATACTATTCTTCCCATTAATCTGTCTAAAATAAAAAAGGACTTTATTCATGTCAGACAAGTAATTAACAAAGGTAACTTAAGTAATATGATTAAGTTTACAACCATTAAATCAAACGGGTGTGTGCATTAAAATTATGTAATCTACTGTATTCATTATTATGTTTTAGCAAGTCCACATCACCTGATTATTTTGGAATCCCTCAGAATATATGTAGAGATATATGTATTTGCATATATGTACATACGTGTAAATATATTTGTATGCATGTTAGGCTCTACCCAGTAAACCACAAAACGTAATTAAAACGTTAATATAACGTAACATCTGTAACTCTCAAACATAACGGTTACGTAACCTAGAAGGCACACATACGTCTCTATTTCAGCTTCAAAAACGTCAAAGTACGTTTCCAAATTGCGCAAAATCGTAACGGTTTCGTCATTGTTAACGTTTCCAAATACGTTGTATACTACGTTATTCACTTTGATCTTTCGTCGTGTCCAGACCTCTCGATCATTTTGCAATACCCAAGAAAGATGTGCAGTTCTATTGTTATGTCCAGACTTGATGATCATTAACCGACAATATGTTATAGTTCGTGATATGTCATAAATTCTGGGATGATCATAAAATCTGGGCTTAACAATATAAATTTCATTCCTTATCTGAAATCTTGTAAATTTTCGCCCAGCTCTCTGTTTATTCCTGATTA